CTGCTGCTGCTGCTGCCACGCACCCGTCTGCTCCGACGACGTAGAGGAGGCTCCCAAGCAGCAGCAGCAGGAGCAGCAGCAGCAGCAGCAGCAGCAGCACCTGCTGCTGCTGCTGATACAGGCAGCAGACAAGCCCTAGAAGGTGCTGCAGCAGCTGAGCGCTGCCGCCGTCCCTTTGCGAGGCAACGAGGGGTGCAGGAGCAGCAGCACCGGTTGCTGCTGCTGCTGCTGCTGCTGCAGCTGCTGCTGCTGCTGCTGCTGCAGGAGCAGCAGCAGCAGCTGTCACTCTCTCCAGCACTCCACGCAAGACGGCTGCTGCTGCAGCTGCAGCGCCGCAGAACTTCTGCTGCTCTCTGCATGCGTTTGGGACTGGTGGGGCTGTTGCTGCTGCTGCTGCTGCTGCTGCTGCAGATGCTGTTACTGCTGACGCTGCTGCTGCTGCTGCTGCTGCTGCTGCTGATGCTGCGACGAAGCGGATGGCTCGATAGCTGCGCAAAACGGCTGGTTGCTGCTTTTGCTGCTGTCGCTACTGTTGCTGCTGCTGCTGCTCGTGCTGCTGCTGCTGCTGCTGCTGCTTCTGTGGTTCTGTGCTGCAGTGGAGGCACCGCAACAGAGCACTCCTCTCGCTGCTGCTGCTGCTGCTGCTGCTGCAGCTGTTGCTGCTGCTGCTGCTGCATCGACGACAGCTGGGAGCAGCAGCCCTGCAGCGGCAGATGAGGAAGACTATGACGCTGCCGCTGCTGTTCGTGCTGCTGTTGCTGCTGCTGCTGTTGCTGCTGCTGCTGCTGCTGCTGCTGCTGCTGCTGCTGCTGGAGCTGCTGCAGCTGCTGCTGCTGCTGCTGCTCCATGAAGCTCGCCTCTGGCGATGCTGAGAGGGAGGGAAAGGGCACAGCCTCAACCCACGGGCTGCTGAAGTTGCTGCTGCTGTTGCTGCTGCTGCTGTTGCTGCTGCTGCTGCTGCTGCTGCTTCTCCTCCTCAAAATGCTGTTGTCTGCAGCAGCAGCGGCAGCACAACGAGCTGCTGCAACAGAAGCAGCAGCAGCTGCAGCAGCTGCTGCAGCAGCTCTCTGATTCTCTTTAACTCCCTCTCCTTCTTGTTCTTCTTTTGCAGCAGTAGCAGCAGCAGCAGCTGCTGCTGCTGCTGCTGCTGCTGCTTCATCATCCCCTTCCTGCGTAGGCAGCACAGCCAAAGCCCAAGACATTTCCTCTCTCTTATCACCACCAACACCTTCACACCCAAATACCTGGGGGCCCCCCAGGGGGCCCCCTAGGGGGCCCCCTGGGGGGCCCCCTTGGGGCCCCCCAAGGGGGCCCCCCTTCGCAAGGCCCCCAAGGGGGGCCCCTGTCGTTTCAAGGGGCCCCCCCGCGCGGGGGCCCCCAAGGGGGCCCCCCCCTGTGGAGGCCCCAAGGGGGCCCCCTGGTATTTGAAAGGGCCCCCTCTCAAGGGCCCCGAGGGGGGCCCCTGGGGGGCCCCCAAGAGAGGTCCCTGGGGGGCCCCCGAGGGGGGCCCCTGGGGGGCCCCCGAGGGGCGCCCCTGGGGGGCCCCCCTCTGTGTACCCTTTTTTTGGTAAGGGGTATCTGAGGGGGGCCCCCCATACCTCTTTGTAGGGTTCTAGACGGTGGTGTCTGCTGCTTCCTCCTCTTTGCTGCTGCCGCTTGCTGCGGGAGGGAGCAGCAGCAGCAGCAGCAGCAGAAGAAGCAGCAGCAGCAGCAGCTGCTGCTGCTGCTGCATTGCAGCAGAAAGGAGCAGCTGAGTCTGCTTGCTGCGGTGCTGATAGTAAGGAAGCTGCTTCTGCTGCTGCAGATGTAAGAGATGCTGCTGCTGCTGCTGCTGGTGGTGCTGCTGATGCTGCTTCCTCTTTTGCTGCAGCTGCTGCTGCTGCGGCTGCTGCTGCTGCTGCTGCTGCTCCCAATACAAACCCAGTGTGAGGAGATACCCTGGGCCTCTTTGTTGCTTCTCCGCCTGATCTGAATGCTGCTGCTTCCTCTTCTGCTGCTGCTGCTGCTGCTGCTGCTGCTGTTGTTGCTGCTGCTGCTCCTGTTGCTGCTGGTGCGCTGTATACAAGCTCTTCTCTCTGTGCATGCTGCAGCAGCTGCTGCTGCTGCTGCTGCTGAAAGACAGCAGGGCTTTGCTGCTGCTTTCGTATAAGCAGCTGCTGCTGCCGCAGCAGATTCATCTGCTGCTGCAGTTGCTGCTGCAGCAGCTCTAGGTGCTGCAGCTGCTCCTCCACTGTTTCGCTTGACAGCAGCGGGGGGACCTGATACGCCTCAGCAGCAGAGTCTTCACTGGTCTCTGCTGCAGCAGGAAGCGGATGAGCAGCAGAAGCAGCAGCAGCAGC